CAGCATTTCCCCACATTTGCCAGAGCAGATGCTCCCGTGTGTGCACACAGACAGGAAGAGTCAGTGCAGGGTGCCTGTGAGAAATTCCCCGGGGAGGCAGGGAAATGCTCCCTGCGGATCCCTTGGCATCTCCTCACCGTGCCAAGGCTTGGGCCTCCAGCCCTGGGGGATCGGCCCAGGAGCCGCCGGCGCTCGGGGATCACCCGAGGGCAGCAGACGGAGAGATCCCAGCTCGGAGAGGCCCCAGGGCCAGGGAGCTTCTGCTCAGTGCTGCTGGAACCAGGAGAGCTCCAAGGGGCTCCTTTTGGCCCTGCTCACAGGGCCCAAGGGATGGGCTTCAGCCACAGCAATGTTTCACCCCGGCCACCCTGGGGGCCGGCAACTCGCTGTGGAAGCGTGAGAGCAGGGATGCTGTGGCATCCAGGGAAGTGAAAGAATTGCCAAGGCTGTTGATAAAAGCCCAGGAGGTGGTTGGACAGCAGCAGTTCCTGGGAGCAGAGGGTGTTTGTGATCAGCGCCAGAGGAGCTGAGCCCAGGGGCTGCTCCTCAAGGCTGAGGCCTCCCAAGCACGGATCAGAGCCCAGTGCGGGCTGGAAATGGGGTGGGGGATGCACCAGCACAGGGAGGGTGACGCTCTGGATATTTATTATTCAGGTGACTTAAGGAATCCCTCAGCCACAGTCCCAGGGTCCCTCAGCCGTGCAGGGCAAGCTACCAAGAGACTCAGATCATTGTGTCCATGGTGGGATCATTTGTGTTGCCACTTTTTTCTTTTTGCTCTTCAAAGACCCTCTGGAGGGAGAGCCGGATGGACCCCACAGAGCAGGGCCTCCAGCACCTCCCCACCAAAAAATAGATGAAGGGTTTGATGCTGCTGTTGATGCAGGGGAACAGGAAAAAAAACAGGGAGGGTACATCGAGGTAACCGAGCTGCTGCAGGAAATCGCAGATGATGAGGAGGAGAGTGAGGAGCACAATGAGGACAGTAACGATGTCACGCCTCGTGGGTTGCTGCTGCTGGGAGCCCCACTTGGCCTTAATGAAATGAACTGTGCTGGAAATGACCATGGGTGCAACAAAGAGGAGCAGGATGATGGTGTACATGGAGATAAGAGCTGCCTGGCAGTGCCCTTGTTCCTCTGATGGACACAGGGATGTCACCGTGGGAAGGACAGTGAAGAGAGCAAAGAAGGCCCAGGATTGAACACTGTCCAGCACCCAAAACAGGCGCTCAGGAAGTTCACAGCGGCAGCAGAGCTGGAAGATCTTTTCCATATACACCACAGGGGTATTGGGCATCAGCCAGTACAGCCCCCAGTAGTAGGAGACACCAGACAGCTTGAAAAGAAAATTTAAATACAGCAGGGGCACAAGAGGAGAGCAGAACATGTCCTCCACCAGGAAGAGCAGGGCAGAGGGGACTGTGAGGAGAAGGAAGAGGAAGTCAATGACAGCCAGGGTGAAGATGCGATAGATACAAATTTTCAGTTGGAGGAGGCAGAGCACAGCCCCGTTCCCGGCCAGCCCACAGAGGCAGATGAGCAGTGTCACACTGTGAATGGCCACACTGGGGACATCTGCCTCACACAGATCATCTCCATCAGTGGGTGAGATGGCAGGCAGGGACATGGTGGTCACCTCCATGGATGGACGCTGGGCAGGTGGTGGGATGTGGCCCTGGCTGTGGTCAGAGTGGATGGGGAGTCCGTGCTTGGAGAATCCAGGGATGGACCATGAGGCTCCTCAGCAGCTCCCTGCAGTGGGAAGGATTCAGTGGGGAGGAGTGAGATGTGCAGGGGAGGAGGGAGGTGGAAATGGTGGGGTGTGAGAGGACGGTGGGAGGGTTGGGCTGGTTTGGGAGGAGGCTGATAAATAACATAGAGAATAAAACTTGTCAGTTCTTCTGTAGTTGTTCAAAAGTCAAGTGGCAAAAAAGATAAAAGGATGTAAAGGCTGGCAGACAGGATGACAAACATGGCAGGAACCAATGCAGAAACAGAGAAGGAGGCCTTTAGGGGTTTTGGGGCAAGTTCTGGAACAAGAAGCAACATTGCATGGCCAGAGGAAAACTTCAAGGCAAGGTCACCTTTAACATGGCAGCATTCATTGAATATGACCACCAGAGAGACCCCTCTTAATAAACCTCCAGGATCATAAAAGGATTCCCAGGAAGAGGTGGATGCATGGAAATGAGTTCTAGGAAAATGGTGATTATGCATTGGATAAGCAACACTTTTCAATGCCAACATGTGGTTATAATGTATTAATACCCTGTTGAAAAGTCTCACCATATACAGAATACAAGAAGTGATCCTTCTGTGTCTTGTGGAGGTAAAGAATTTCTGCTTCCAAATGCTTTTCACTGTGTTATAAAATTTGTTCAGGCCCTGTTCAGAATTAGGATACAGCTGGGATGCACAGGAGAAGAGAGAGGAGCTGGGGAGGGCACTGGGGTCACTGGGAGAGGGTGGCAGGAACAGAGCAGCTGCTGGAGGAGAGGAAGTTTGGGATAAAGAGGAAGGAAAACATTCCACTGACCTGTTCCCTGTGGGGCAGCAGCAGGCAAAGGGGTCTGTGCAGATCAGCGGCGCTTCCTGGAACCTCTGGCTCCTTTGGGATCCATGTCCTAAAGCGGCTCCTGCCAGGTCAGTGACATGAAGGAGAAAGTGCCCAGGTCACCAGGAGCTCCTCACTCCTGTCCTGCTGGCTCCTCTGTGTGGCCTGTCCTGTCTTTTTGCAAGGCTCAGTGGGGTCATAGGGCAGGTGGAAGTGGTTTTACAGCTTTGGCTGTATCAGAGCTCCATTCCCTCACTTATCTTGAATTTTTTTTCTTTGTCATAGAGGAAGTAGCTTTGTCTAAATGTCCAAGTGAAGAATTTTGCAACTGGCTCCGTAGACCTCTTGATGAGAACCACTCCTTCCCTGCATAATATCCTATCCTCCAACTGCCTTTCCTTTCCTGACAGGTTTCTACCATTCCTTGTTTCTCCTCCCTGAGGGGTCATTTTCCCTCCAGCAGCAGAGAGCTGCTGTTGGTGCTGGTGGCACTGGGCTGCTGGCAGTGCTGGCAGTGCCAGCAGTGCTGTTGAGGCATCTGGTGCTTCTCAGAAACAACTCCCATTCTGGGAACAGCTCTAGAATCATTGCCAAAACCTCCCCTGGGCCCAAAGGACCACAA